CCGCCCCAGACCTGGAATCAGCCGTTTCTCCCGGACTCCAGTCTGTGCTCTGTTCCTCCAGTTCTTATGTGCTGGTTCTTTAACCTGCTTTCTAGACACGAGGGAGCTGTTCTCCATGTTCTAGAGAAGGAGTAACCAAACTTATCATTAGGCTCCATCCTACTTAAAAGATCCTTTCAAGTTTCGGTTCAGCCTTTGTAAAATTTGTAGCTGATAATCTGTGTTTGTTCATAAGAAACAAACTCTGCCAAAATCGTACTTGAAATACACTTGATCGAAACGTCTAACTGTAACAAAGTGTTCTTCTACTTTGACGGTGAGCCGCAAACACCTAAAAATATCTCCTGCTCCTGGGAAATACAAACTGAGGATTAAAATGAGAGAGCAGTTTAGGCTCTCTATAAAGAAAGCCTAAAAAGAAAATTTGGAAAGCTAAATATGAGTTAAAAAAAAAAAGTAAAGACAAATACTCAAAGTTGTCTTACCTGTAAAGAATCCAGTCTAGACTGCTCGGGACAGAAACGAGATCAACTCTACCAGGTTTAAATTCACCTGGGGTTTGTCCTTGACCCTGGTCCTTCTACTGTTTAGAAGGTGGAGGGGGTGGAAATACAAAGTAAATAACATTCCTGTGTAACGTTGATTATGCAACACTAGAGCCATTTCGGAAGACTCCCGTGTACTCTGAGTAGATTCCCAAATGCTCAGAGGCTCCTGCTCTGACGGTGTGAAATCTGGTTGTGAGGAGAGACCCACAGGTGTCCGAGCCCTGTGCTGTGTGACCTCAGGCCTCAGTCCCCTCCAGTACGGCACCACCTCATAGTCTGTGGTGAGAATTAAGTCCAGACATGTAAATAATGTGCATATGGCAGTGTCTGGCCAGGGCAGCCTCTGATGCCAGGAGGTGGGCAGGTGACCCTTTTGCAGGCACCTACAGGTGTGGTGGGGCTGAGGCACCCTTGCCCACCCCAGGCCTGGGGCAGGTGAGCTGTCAGTATCACCAGGTATCAAGTGGCAGCTCTCGGGTCTTAGAAAGCCCAAGGGAGTTAGAATTGCTGTATAGACTAAATGAGGCAGTCTGAGTGAATGTATTTTATAAACTGTAAAGCACCTAGTGAATGTGGGGTGGTTGTGGTGTTATCATTGAATAGTTCGAAAGAATGTTCTCTGATCTCTCCCTACCTACTTTGTTCCAGTCCTTGTGCTGGGCACCAGGAATACAGTAGTGAATGGCACAGACCATTCTTTGCCCTCTGAGGTCTGATGTGAGTCTAAACTTTTACAAGTTCTGGTGCAGTCACAAAATCTTGAATGCCATTCCCACTATAGTTAGTATTGTCTGGGTGTTGACAGGGTGCCAGCTTTGTACACACCTCCCATGGCTGAGCCGGGAGGATGCTCGGCAGGTGCCGTAAAGCTGAGCCCCGGCACCTCCCCGCAGCATCAGCAGCCCCTGTCACTGGGATTGACATGTGAGAGCCAAGTTCAGGGGGGCCAGAGGACAGCAGCTTCTGTCCCTCCACACCCCTCCTCAGGACAAGGCAGCCCCGACTCACTCACAAGTTGTCCCAGACCCCCCCAGGACTCTCAAAATTCACTTGGAGATTGATTGTTAAGGTCTTGGGAGATGTGCTCCCAGAGCTGCTGCTGTAAGAGAGGGCCAGGCTTCTGGAGGTGCTGCCCAGCCCTATAAGAGCCCAGGAGTCTCTGCCTCGTGGTCACTTCCTGGTCTATTCTGGCTTCTCACATCCTGCTCCCTTTCTCTCCTTAAGAGCCCATGAGTTCTCCATAAATTCAAAAGTGCTTTTCCTCCCCAGGACGGCAGCAGTGGCAGCGTCATCAGGGATGGGGTGACATGTCTATGTCTACGTATTGTTTGTTTGTGGAATGAGACCTGCCTGTCCCAGAAAGCCAGGGGTATTTATGAAAAGAAGAACCTGAAACCTGCATATCTTTCAGCTGAGCTGGACAGGAGTGAGTGGAGTTGTTTAGTCCAGAAGGTCTCTATAACAGCCTCATTCAGAACTGAGCTACCTCACAGTCATGAGCTCACAATCAAAGTTCACTAAACATGGGAGGGAAAAAGGGAACAGGAGTGAAAGTTAACAGAAACCACAAACTGCAGAATCAGGCTACCAAGACTGAAATAATGGAATTATCAGATATGGAATATAAATGAATATCAAGCAAAATTGGTAAAAAGATACCCACACCTCAACACATTGTATCACTATTGCATAAACTGCAGAATAGCAAGGACAGAGAGGAGACTCTTACAGCAGCCAGATATAAAAGACAGAGTCCAACAAAGGAGCAGCAGTTCAGCTGACAGCTGACCTCTCAGCAGCAACAATGGGAGTCAGACTACAGTGGAACAATATGGAAAGGTCTAGAACACAGGGGAAGATATCTTAGAAGTGCTGAGAGGAAATAATTGTCAGGGGAAAATAAGGACATTTTCTGACAAATAAAACTGACTACCACCAACTGACCTTTCCTAAAGGAACTACTAACAGATGTACTTCAGGAAGAAAAAATATAATCCCCAAAGGAATATCTAGATGCAAGGATATCATCGTGACTTAAGGAGGGAAGGACTTCTTCAACTTGATTAAAAAAACACAATCTATAAAGGAAAATATTAGCATATTCAGTTACATTAAAATTAAGAACAATTCATTAAAAGAGATGATAAAATATGTGAGATGTGCTGTCAGAATATATCTGCAATATTTATAATAGTCAATGAGATCCCCATTGTTAGAAAGAATTCCAAAGAATCGGTAAGAAAAAGACAAACCTGCAACAAATTTTTAACCAATAAAAAACAATAAAAAATTTCACAGAAGAGAAAATATGAAATATATGAAAAACTTAATTTCATAAGTAACCATAAAAATTAAAATCTAATGAGATACATAGAAAATCCCAAGGAATCTACCAAACAAGAACCAAAAATCTCTCCTTGAACTAATAAGTGAGTTTAGCAAGTTGCAGGACACAATGTCACACAGAATAGATCAATCATGTTTCTATTTACTAACAATGGACAAATGGGAAATGAAATTTTAAAAAAGTGATACTGTTTACAACAGCTCTCCCAAAATGAAATAGATAGGCATAAATATAAGAAAATACCTGTAGCATCTGTATGCTAAAAACTATGAAAAGTTGATAAAAGAAGTCAAAGAGCATCTTAATCATTGGAGAGGCATACCATGTTCATGGATTAGAGGATTCATCATAGTAAAGCTGTTAGTTCTCCAGAAATTGATCTATAGATTTAACCCAATAAAAATCCCAGCAGACAGATATCATTGATATTTATGAGCTGATTCTAAAATTTATGTGGAAAGGCAACAGAACGAGGGAAGGGGATGAGCTCTCCTGAGATGGGCAGAAATGTGAGCCACCTGCTCTGGCAACTCTTGTGATTACTGTGAATGTATAGAAAGTGTTGACATCTGGTGGTGTGATTCCTCCAAACCACAAACCCAGGAGCCATCCTTGGCTCCCCCTCCCCATCACCACAAATCCCCAGTGGTCTCATAGTCCAACAAGTTCTTTTCCTTTTTCAAAATTATTTTATTACTTTATAGGAGATAAACTCCTGTGCACCCACTATATGGTGTAAGAAATAGAACATCATCACGATCTTTGGAGGCCTCTGTACCCTCATTCACAATCCCATAGTCTCTCTCAGCAGGTGCTGAGGCGGGTGGGTTTGAAGGAATTTGGGAGTGCCAGTGAGCTCAGATTTTTGCACCTGTTGGATTTGAGGAGCTTGAGGGGCAGGGCCAGGACTGGGGGGAGGCACGTGAGGTTCCTGGGTGCACAGTGTACTGAGGCACTCTCTCTCAGGGTCATGCAAGTGCAGGGTTGGCCCTACAGAGGGACAGCCAAGTGGAGACGTCCTGTGGGCAAGTGGATGTGTGGGCTGAAGGCCACAGAGAGAAATGGGCTGAGGGGGGTTCCTGGGATTACCAGCCTATGTGGGGCCTAAACACACAAATGTAACAGGAGTGAGGAGAGGAGAACTGAGGAGGCTCACAGTGACATCCCAAGGAGGCCCAGGACGGAGAGGAGCTCAGAGTGTCTGAGATAAACCAACAACAAAACACTCGGTGCTCATGTCCATCTTCTCTCCAGGCCTCTAACTAAACACGCCATCAGGTGGACATTTACTTCCTCCCTTGGGCTCACCGACATGGTGCAAGCCCAGACCCAAAGCAAACACAGGCAGAGCCGAGAGAGGACAGGACAAAGGTGTGGTTTCTCCACCAAGGGGATAATCAGTGGCTGGTTGGAGTTGAGCGGTGATTACACTGGAACCGAATCACCCAGCTGGTAACTGACCCCAGGGCGTCAGATACTGTAACCCTGGCGGCACCAAACCAAATGCCCACAGGACCAGGCAGGCACTGTCAGTGGGTGAAGGGAGCCAGGAGAAGGAAAGAAATATTCCACAGTGACTGTGAGCAACAGGGAACGTGCCATACAATGGCATAGGGCTGGGGCAGAGGAGACTGTGATCCACTGAGGACACCAGATCCTTTTGAAAGAGACAGTCACAACTCATTTCAGGCTACTCTGGCCTGGGAAATAGGTTCACTGTGGTGAGAACTATGGATTTCTCAAGAAATGTCTGATATCTGGATTTTTCATGTGAAATATCCAGTTTTAAATGTTGGCAACTTACTCAGAAATGTTTAAAAAACTGTATAGACCAATGCCATTTGGGCCAAGAAGACACGTCCACAGACCAAATTTGGCCAAGTCCTTCCCTCGGCAACCTCAGTGTAGCCCCTTGAATTTTCTAACAATAGGACCTGAGTTTACTGTGACTCAGGGACCAGCCTTCCTTCCCCATTCCCTCCCTTCCCACCTAACTTCACCCGAAGAGCTTTTAACCAGAGACGGAGGAGAAGAAAGATGCCCTGCACAGGGAAATGTGTCTGCACAAGCAAATGAAGCCCCTTGTTCATGGTTTTGTCTTACAGGTGTTTGGGTGCTGGGTCTGGATCCTGGTGGCCGCCACCCAGGTAGCAAACCCGTTGCTGCAAGGATGGGTGATGTACGTCTCACTCACCTCCTTCCTCATCTCCTTCATGTTCCTGTTGTCTTACTTGCTTGGATTTTACAAAAAATACGAGTCCTGGAAAGTCCTGGTAAGAACCAGCGAGGGTGGCCCAGGCTCTCGCGCTCCTCCAGACCGATGTCCTGGGTGATGTGAGGACAACGGGCCTTCTGGGAGGGGAGGGAGAACCAGAGACCTTTCCTGGGCCTCTGATGGAACCAAGACTTTTTATTTTAGTGTGTTTACTATTAAACTGGAATGAAAGCATTCCTCTCCAGAGTAAGCCTTCCATTGCCGTCCCCTCCATTGCCTCCCTTGTCAGGAGCACACACAGTCTGTATGTTCCTGCACCAAGCACATCCTGACACATTTCCCTGTAAGTTCTATTTACGGTAAAATTATTGGGACATCATTGAGGGAAACATTAGTAGGAAAAAAAATTCACCCCAATCTCAAGGTCCTATCACAATCACTGGCTTCATTCTTCCATATTTCTGGTAAACTTTATGCAAAATGGATATATAATCACACTGAACCAATAATTTTGGATGCAGATTCTTTCTTTTAATATTAGGTCATTAATTTTTTTTTCCGCTTATCACGTCATCTTAATAACCATTTAAAATCTTTCTGTATTGAACAATTTGAAACATATACAAAAGTAGGGAGGGTCCTATTATGGACCCTCATGTAACCATAACCCAGATTCCAGCATTATCAAGATTTTACTACACTTGCTTCATTGAACTGTTTTTTTCCTGAAGAATTCTAAAGCAAACCCCAAAAATCACGTCATTCCATTCTACACTCTTCAGTACGCCTCACAACCCTGCAAACTGGGCTGGCCGGGTGGCGTAGTGCTTAAGTTCATGTGTTCCACTTTGGCGGCCCAGTGTTCGAGGGTTCAGATCCCTGGTGCGGACCTACACACCACTTGTTAAGCCATGCTGTGGCAGCATCCCACATACAGAATAAAGGAGGATGGGCACAGACGTTAGCTCAGGGCCAATGTTCCTTATAAAATAAAAAAACAAAAAAACCTGCAAACTTTCTTACATTATCACACTGACATAAAGCTAACAGGAATTCCTCTGCACCATCTGAGACCCAGGTCACATTCGCATTTCCCCGGTTATATCTGAAATGTCTTTTGCAGTCGATCTGTTTGACTCAGGGTCCTCCCGGGGGCCGTGCGTTGCACTTGGTAGTTATGGTTCTCGGGGACCTTCTTCTAGAATGAGTCTCCCTGCTGGTGACTTGCTGAAGACCCTGGGTCGGCCGTCTTGTAGAAGGTCCCCATGTGGGTTTGTCTGTTTGCTTCCTCCTGGTGTGATCTGAATTGCTCCTCTAGTCCCTGAATTTTCTGTTAACTGGAAGTCGGCACTGAAGGCTTCCTTGAGGACGGGTTAAACCTTTCTGGCAGGAACGCTTCATAAGCGGCTTCACGTCACATCACACACAGTGACTGGTGGTCCCTCTTTCAGTGTGACAGCCTTACCCCATCAATCTTTTCTCTAATGCTTTCTTTCATCTACAGATGAGTTTTCCTGAATTGGTTATTTCATTTTGGGTTGCGAAATGTTGATTCACTTATTATGACATTCCTTCCAGAACTGATCATTTAATGACCACATGACATTCTTGTTGAATGAAGAACACTGCTGAGAGTTAACACAGAGACTCAGAAACGGAAATCTAGGGTTAGATGACCCTGACTGAGTCAGCTCTTCCACGTGTTAGCTAAGCCTCAGTTTCCTCATCTGTGAATTGGAGGTAATGATAGTAGCAGCCTTACGAAACTAGCTGTGGAAATGAAATGAGACAACATGTGTACACTGTGAGGACAGTGCCAGCACATGGTAGGTCTTCACAAGGCTCATGGTTAAGAGCATTGCAGTTATTGTGGCCTGGGTTCAAATGCTGGCTCACCCATTTATTCATTGACCTTAACCCTGAGCTTCCATTTCCTCAAAATTGACAAGGTTAAATGAGATAAATGAGAGAAGGGCTTAGCATAGAGCCTGGCACGGAGTAAACACCCAATCAGTGTTGGCAGGTGTTAATATTATTATTGCTAAATATTAATCTACTATTGTTTGCTACATAGCTATTTCATTAGAAACATTGCCCAGAAAAAAAAGCAGGAGTTTCGGGAGCTGGCTTGTCTCTTTTTCTCAGTCTTCTCGGCTATATAGTCAGAGTGGGAAGTGCTCACCTGTCTACGTGCCACGTGACGAGGCCTCTGCTCTGCCTTTCCAGGACAGCCTGTGCCACGGGGCCACTGCCATCCTGTACACGAGTGCGGCCGTCTTACAGGTGCATGCCACGATCGTCTCTGAGACCCAGAACCTGAGCAATTACTACATCAACACCACAGCCTCGGTGAGCGCTGGACAACACGACCACCATGGAGGGAGGGCATCATCTGAGGCTGAGTTCGGTCTCATGTGTACAGACAGCCTGACCCTCAGGCTGACGGAGCCTGGAGGACGGAGGAGGGGTGTGTGTGTGAGTGTGTCTGTGCGTGTGTAAACAGGTGTGCCCAGCTCACGGAGCACCAAGCCCAAGTTCAGGGGACACTCTCGTCTTCTGTTTTTCCCACCTCAGCCTTGAGCCCTCTTCCATCCACTACACTGTCCTTGGAATATTTTTTTTCCAAAACGCAAACTGGAACATATCTTTCTCTTGTGTTGAAGATCCTTCGATGGCTCCCACTGCTTGTGGCATGGAGCCCAAAGTCCTCAGCATGGTGAACTGCGTGTCCTGCAGTGACCGAGGTCCACAGGAGGACGGTGGTGGCTGATGGACCCGAGGCAGGTGGTCCAGACGAGTCGTGGGAGGAGCAGGACCCCGAGACCTCAGGCCCCCTGGGACCAGAGACTCGAGGCCAGCTCTGCCTCCCCTCTCCAGGCTCTGCCCAGCGGCCTCTTTTCTGTTTGTGGAACGGCGCCCTCACGTGGCAGGGAGCTCACAGCCAGGAGATTCCTCCTCTGGAGCAGCCTAACCCTCCTCCTTAATCCCACCTTGAAAACTTCCCGGGAAGCACTCGCATTCACAGGCTGGGTCTGAAACCATCCCTGACCAGTCACTGTGAACAGAAAGGTCGAGTCTTGTGCAGTCTGGGGGCTCCTGCAGGAATCAGGTGGCAGGAGGAAGGGGTCCAGCATGGGGTGCTGTCCCCAGCATGAGAATGGGGTGGAGGCAGCACTGTGACCCACTGGGGGGCCACAAGGTAGTTGAGCTGCCTTCCTGGCCTGTCTGCCTTCTTTCCGTCCTCATCAAGTCTTTCTAACTGCCCTAAACTGACACGTCCTGCCATGGCCCCCCCGGCCTCCAGAGCCTCGCCCAGCACCACCCCGACCTCCCCTCCTGCTGCTCGCCCTCAGTCAGCTGTTCCGGCCACACTGGCCTCCCGCTGCCCCCTGAACACACAGACACGCTGTGGCCTCAGCCTTGGCAAGGACGCCCTCCTCCAGGAGGCAGCTGCCTCGCCCCTTCTGTTCTTTTCTCACGTGTCGCCTTCTCAGTGAGGCCCTCCCTGTCCCCCCCAGCATCCCCGTCCCCCATCCTGCTTTATTTCCTCCTGGGCACCTATCCCCGGCTAACCTACTGCCGTGCTGGTTTACCTGGTTTATTTTCTGCTTCTGCCACTGAAATGTAAGCTCCACGAGGACAGGAGCTTTTGAACGTTTGATCGCTGTTGTAGCCACTGTCATTTTTGAAGTAGAGCAGGTCCCTAAAAGATATCTGCTGAATGAAAGAATGAATGAATGAATGAGATCACAGTGTGAGTGGACAGTGGGGCAGAGTGAGGCTGGAGCGGGCGGCCGGGCGGCCGGGCCAGAAGGCGTGTTGGGGCGATGGCCTCTACCCTGAGAGGCGGGAGGCATCACAGGGTTTTACTACATGATGCAGCCACGAGCGCACGTGTCCTCTGCGGTGGATTAGAGGGGCGGAGGGCAGAAGAGGACAGGCTGAGGCCACGAGGAGCCCTGGCGAGGGACGAGGGCGGCTGAGACGAGGGAGAGGTGGACACACCGGGAGGCGGTCAGGCAGGACGATCAGGCGACTCTGGGGGGCTGTGGCCGTGGGGGGGGGGGGGGGGGCTGAGGGCCCTGGGGGGGGGGGCCGCAGGCGGTGGCGGCGTCTGGCATCTCTAACACGGTCCTTCTCCCGTCCTCTTCCAGTTCTTTGCCTTTATCACCACCCTGCTGTACATCCTCCACGCCTTCAGTAACTACTACCACTGAAGAGGCGGGGAGCCGCGCCGACGCGAGAGAGGCTCCATAAAACCCGGATTATTGGCTCCCAAAAGCAGTGATCAACATTCGCCATCTGGATGATAAACAGAAGATCAACAAAAACAGGGATTATCAGACCATCTTTTCAGACTCAAACATGAAGTCACACTCTGGCATGACTGTTTGGACATTTTAGTTTATAATGAATATGAAAAACTTGTGTTTTTGTGTTTTTTTTTTTTTTTGCCTGGAAAAGTAACTGTGTCTTGGAATTATCTGACAATGAAACTCCATCTTCTGGAAAACTAATATCCGAAGCCCTCACTGTTGAGAATCCCAGACCTCCCACCATCTGGCCTCTCTGGGGATTCCTCCTCAGCAGTGAGGTTCCCAATAGTGGGTTTATGGGAACATTCAGTCTCATTTTCTTAAATCGACATGGTGCCGTCAACGCCTCCAGATCCAAAGAAGATCCACAGACCTTGTTCCTGCTCCGCGGTTCCGCCTCTGCTCTGGAGAGTGGTCCAGACCCACTCCCCCTCCTGGGGAGGCTTACAGGGACGAGCACACTGCCCGCCCCCCGTTCCACTTCCTTCCCTTCCCTCCCCGGCTTTGGGATCCAAGGGAAATCTGCGTAAAATCAACTTTGGGGTAGATTTGCGGGGAAAATAAGTGATTGACTCTACAAAATTGTCAGACAGGAAGACCTGGGGAGGGGAGGAGGGTCCAGGGAGAGGAGGGTGTAACCCGCTTCTCCACAAGTCAGACCTCTCAGAAAACTGCGGGGCTGCTGGACGCCTGTGTCAGGCCTCCAAGTCCCCACTCCATAAGGACTAGAGTCTCCTTGCCCCTCAGAAAAGACCATCAGGGAAGGCGGCAGCACGTTATGTGCAAGGATTCTCCTCTGGGCTCCTGTCACACCAGTGGGACATCTCAGGAGGCTGGAAAGGACCCGGCCCCAGGGCCCGTGCTCTTCTGTGTGTATCCACTCCCCTCCATCCCCTGAGTGGTGTCGACTGGGGGCCTGGACCACTCAGCGCCTCATGCATGAAGGGCTCACAGGGGCCTGGACACGCAAAGGCGTCTGCAATGTGGGGCCATTCTCAAGGAAAAGGCTGGCGTTGTGCACACGGAAACGCAGCATCGAGGTGCTTGGTTTCACAGGAAGTGTTTTTCAACAGAAAGCTGTGCTCTGATGTTTCTCCACCTGGGGGGGGCTCCAGCCGCTTGTGCCCGGGTCTCTGTGCTGGGGCTCCTGCCCAGGCCAGTCAGGAACAGCCCCGTGACCGCACATGCCTGCTGTCGTATTGAAATGAAATGAATTGTTACGTGGAAGGGACTTGTCCCACCGGCTCTGGGGCTTACAGTTGTGTGTCAGCTTTTTCCTGCTCCTGGCGGGGGAGGGGCACAGGCGTCACCGAAGAGAAACTCTGGCCTCTGTCCTTGACGGCTCACCGTCTAATCGCCCGGAGATCTTGAAAATCCACCGTTTATCTCTCACCTTATTGCCTGGCAGCCGTCTGGGAGGATCCCTGTTCAAGATTTACTGAGTAGCCACATCCAAATAAAGGTGTTGAGACGGTAGAAAGTATTGAGTTGGTGCTTTTGTGACGGCACAGCTGGAACTGGCCACCAGGTCATAGGTCCTGACAGCAATTCCACCACAGCCCCCCGTGGGGGATTTGAAGGCCCAGCCCACCCGCCTTGCTTGTGGGGCAGCCGCACGGGGAGGCCGAGTGTGTCCCCAGGGCTCGGGGCTTGTGGTGTCACTTCAGGAGGGACCGTTTGGGTGAAAGTTCAAGAACCAAACCCATGCAGCTTAGGCAAAGTTGGGGATGCACTGGCCGGGCCTGGGAGGTGAGGAGGCCTCAGTGGGCGGGGAGTGGACCCCTGCCGGCCTCTGCCTCCTGTTCCTGCTCCTCTGCACGGGGTGCTGTCCTGCTCTCCCCACACTGCAAGCCCCCCACCCACTGTAGGACACTGTGGACCAGCCCTGAGCCCAGGCCCCGAGTCACCTGCAGCTGCTGCAGTTCCCAGCTCACCGCCCCCTCCCCGCCTTGGGGGCGGCTCCCCTCT